CCGCTCGTGGAGCCGGTCCTCGAGGCCAAGGACCGGCTCGAGGAACACATCACTGGAGTCTCCTCTTGAGATAAAGCCGTATTTTAAGTATGACTCCATATACGGTCTATTGAATGTAACCTTTTTCTTGAAAGTCGTAGGCTCCTCTTCTGTCTCCTGGCTGGGTCTTTTCCCCTTCCCAAAGACGGTTGTTTTTTTTTTTGTTTTTTTTACACATTTTGCCAGCTCCTGCGTTTCATTTTGGCGGTAACTTATCACGTGACTGAGACGTGTGCCATGACCCACGTCAAGAGTAACACACTGTAGACGGATGTAACAGAGAATCCGGGAATTTTTCAAACTTAAACATCTTTCAGATTCTGAAATAAATGAAACGTAAGTAATCTAAGGTCTTTAATTTTCTTTAATTACCAAATGACCCACGGACCGGTACTGGTCCTTGGCCCGGGGTTGGGGACCGCTGCTGCAAAGGACAGATGTTTCTCTGTTAAAGGAGTTACTTTGTGGAATGGTTAGGAAATGAAGGCTCAGTGACACATTTTAAAAATACCGTATGTTTCAAACAAAAATACTAGAAAAATACACACATCAGGCTGAAAAAAACCCTGAAAAAATGTACATACTACCTATACAGGTGGGGTCGCTACTTCTTGGGGATCGCTTCTACTTGGAACTTCACATTAATTGTTGTAAATGCGTGCATCAAGTTCGCTTTTTGTGTGTCGTGTCATTGAATGTTTTGTTGCCATGAGGTGTGTCGAATAGTAAGCCGTTACTTCGCCATTTGTCTTTTTCTCTTAGCTTTATCATTGATTGTATTTTTTTGTCGTGAGGATAAACGGATTAGAAAATGGATGGATGGATTACCTGATCCCGTATAGCAAAGGAACAAAAAAACAACTCGCCCCAAGGAACTGCTGACATTCTCGAACAAAATTTAACACAAAGCTGTTCAAGATTCAAGATGTGTATGCATTGTAATAACACATTGGAAGCCCCACAAATGTTCGTGTTCTACTCTTTCTTCGGGTCCCCTTCACTCTTTAGCATTGTCCTCACTTAAATTAACTAGGATTGTATTTACATTTCCACAAGATTGTCAAGGTTGCTCGAGAAAAAGTTCTGACTGCTTCTTTCTGAGCCTTTAGTGGATGTGCTGTGACGGCTTTTTTTTCGTTTGTTTGTATTTCAGATACTACAATGGTAAGAATCAAATATGGTAATACCAAAAAAAAAAAGACTTGAAATTCCTAGTTTTTATTTCTGTTTGATGTTCCCTATAGATACAAGCTGGTGTCCTGCTGGTGGCCTTGTACATCACTGGAAATGTAGTCTTTTTGCTCGCCTTGTTGTTTGGAGTTGGGATGTCATAATTTGAACGAATACACATAAAGAAATTGTAATTGGGGGTGTGTGTGTCATGATCATGTTCTGTTAGTGTCCGGCAGGTGGCAGAGGCGTTCCCGGTTTTCCTGCTACTCACCTGTCTGGCATCACAATTATTGGGACTTTTTTAAGGACCTCATAGAACCATGCCAAGCTGTCGGATAATTTCGCCTCGCTCAAGTCATTGTTAATATGCATTTTGTCGAGACGTTCTCTTGTTCCTCTTCTGAATCTCGTGTGCCTTCTTCACCTACCAGGTCTCCTCCATGATTCGGAGGGCTTGCTGGGTTGCACCACAGTATGTTTCAACTGTTGGGGAACTATACCAGAGGACAGACTGCTGTTGATAATGGCCAAAACCTCCTGAAAGAAATACGGAGGAAATAGTCACAAGAGGAGCCAGATGGCTTATGTTGCAGCTCCGAAACAAGAGAGCTGTAGTGTTGATTTTTTTAAAACGTACACTTTATTATTTCTGTTAAAGGACTTGACAAATACAAGGATATCATGTTTAAAAGTTTTATTTTGTGATATGCCTCTTAGGACATTCCTGACCATTCACCTAGCCAGCACCCCCAAATTTGTGTTTATTTTATATATATATATATATACTTCAGTTTAGGACCTTATATATATATATATATATATATATATATATATATATCGTAGAAAGGGTTCTGTCAGTCATAATATATATATATGTTACCATAGCGACCAGAGACAAAGCTTGTGGTCTAAGTGGAGCGCAGGGGGGCCAGTTCATCTCGGGGATTTGGGAGGCCAGGCTTGGTAACTGATAAGAGCAAGGGAGACTAGACTTTGGGTAGACAATTTTACAATTAATATGCTTCAGCATGCCAAGATGTCCGTGAGCCGATGATGAAATGTTTCAGTTTAGAGAGCGACTTGCCATTATCATGTCAAAGTGTCTGTTGATCATAAACCAAAATGTTGGCGCTGGCGCCGAGGGGTCTGGCCCTCATTGTGTATGGCGGAGGGCCGGGTCGGGGCGCAGCATGTAAATGGGGGTAGGTGGGGGGGGGGGGTTCTGACATGTCACTTGTAATTTGCAGTAACCTGTCAATAAAAGCTTGGCAGCGGCCGTACTGAGGTCGGGTCTGGTCGGTCTGAGAAGCGAGCACGAGTGTGTGTGTGGCCTCAATTACGCCACGTGCCGGCAGTAAAAGACAATCCTTCCTGAAGCTGAGTCTAATTGTTCAAATATGTCCGGCCCATCTCTGACAGTTAGCGAGGGTGTGGGTACAGGGTGTATGCCCCCTTCACCCGCAACCCTAAAGAAGAGAAATGCAGTTGTAAATGAATGGATGGATGTCCAACCAAGTGTTTCTTGACCTTGCGGTACCTGCACTTTTTTCTCGCTTTTTTTTTTTCTTCCAGCACAACTGAGAAACGTGACATCAGATTTTGCTGACAATGTAACCAAAGAAGTCCTCAATCATCTGTACAATCTTCGAGAGGATTGCATCTTAAATGATGGCGAGGTACAGCACATATGTCAGGCGAACCACACCAGAGCAAACAAGGCACGTGACCTTATCTGGACCGTGAGGATGAAAGGCGACAAAGCCAGCTGGAAGCTGATCAAACACATTCAAGCCAGAGACACTTACCTTGCAAAGCATCTGGATCTGAACTCGATTTAATTCATGGACACGAGGTAAGGAGTGAGTATTATTTTGAATCGTGCTTGAGACTCAGAAATGCTCACGGTGTATCCCACAACCTGTTGCAGTTATACTGACTGAATGTTTCTTTTCTGATTCCAGACAGTTTCTGGCAGAAAAAAAAGACCAATCGACAAGGAAATGTATTTTTATTTTGTCAGGCCCCTAAAATCCTGGCATCAATTGTAATCCCCAAGTCACTCAATTGTTCCAGTTCTATTTTGTGCTCAACAATCCCAGCAAGTTTCATTCACACCTTGAGAATATTAACCTTTGGAAATCTGTGTGGCTGTCACTTATTGTTATTTCAGGGTGACACTGAAAATTCACTGTGAGCACTCAACCATTCCACCCTTGTCAGGTACTAGGCTATCCCAGGTTGTCGAACGGGAGGTTTCCAGATGTAAAGTCACAATTAAATTAATTATATTTAAAATCTCAGATTCAAAACAATTCTCTGTTATTGTTCAACTACTCCACCTCTGTGAGGAACCCAGGAAATGTAATAGAAACCAGATGTCATCATTTAAAACCTTTTGGGCCACAATTTAACATCTTTCACAGAGTGCTGATTCAGATGTGGGTATCCATGCATGCATCCATCCATTTTCTTATCCACTCATCCTCACGAAGGGAGCGGGCGTGCTGGAGCCTATGGCCGCTGTTTCCTAGCAATAGGCGGGGTACACCCTGAACTGGTTACCAGCCAGGGCACATATTGACAAACAACCATCCGCTCTCACACTGTAAACCCGAACATTCAAATTTAAAAAAAAAAAAAAAAAAATGAGTAAACAATTCTCAAATTTCCACAAAAGTAGTATTGTCTTAACTATGTCAAGTTGGTTGAACTTGTTACATTTTATGAGTAGTTTGTCCTTTTAATTTTTAATTGAATTGAACAATACTAGTTTTGGGCTCTGCATTTCCTAAAAACAAATAAACTTAAACTTCAGAAATTTGAGTTATTTACCGTAAATTCCGGATTACAAGCCGCTACTTTTTTTCAACACTGCGGCATGTAATATGAAGCGGCTTTTTAAATTTTTTTTTTTCCATCGCGGGAAAAACATGGACCAATGAAATGGATGAGTAGTTCACTGAGGTCCAATGAGATTGTATGACAAATCACAACTTCCGCTCTTTTCGCTGCAGCGGGAAAAATGTGTTACCCGGCAACAGTCGACCAAT